ATAGAGGGAATTCTAGACTCTCCAGAGTGAGTGACGAGGTAAATGGCAGTTCAAAGGCATGAGTTATTACAATTTGGTCATGGCCATGGGGTTAGAACACGTAATAAAAGGGCGAACATCTCTTTAGCAGGCAATGAAAGCCCATGTATCCGGATTATTCAGAATGTGTGAAAATGATGCAAAGACATGGAAAGGGCTGCCCAAGCCGCCCTATATGGATGTGAGGGTGGAGACGTGAGGAACAAATGAACTACTGAAGTGCTGCCTAAATAGCTGGACGTCAAGCGTCTTGCACTGTTAGAGCCTCCAGGAACCCGCACACCGATGACTCAACCGGGGAAATCGCGCAGCTATTCATGGCTGATACTAACACTCTGAGCTTGCTTGAACTTGACACCTTCCACCCGTATGGGGAGTAAATGAGTTACGGTTGATATCGCCGCAATCAGTCGGGGCGGGATCAAGAGGAATGGAATGGGCGCACCTGCTCTAGCCCTGCCCACCTGGTTTTCACCATGCTAGCTTTTTTCTGAACTCGACTACTAGCCGATGCTGTCAGAAGTAGACGTAAAAAAGGCAGCCGGAAACGGACCCATTCCACCCCCCCCCCCCTCTACCACCACTCCACCACTGGCTTCAGCGTCAGTCAGAAGTATTTTACTGCTTCCGTCTACCTCGTCATCCTGCGCGACATCGACTTTGATGATGCGCTACATAAGCGAAGGATTCCTGTCCCTTCTCGTTCTTCCTGCCCTCCCCCACCCCCGAAATGGTGGAAAAGAAGAGGCAGAACCATGCGTTCCTCATCCGTTATCTTTTGCTCCTCCCACTTGTAGTCTCCATCAACTGAAACCAAAATCTTCAGCAGCCAATTTTAGCATCATCCGCCGGATTTTTACCTGACCGCCGATGCGGACAAGTTGGAAAAGCAACAACATTATGGTTGGCAGTCGTTACAAGCGAACACGTTCCTCTCGAATGTTTTTGTGTTTGCCGGACAGAAAAGGAAAAGGAGCATACACCAACCTTAAAAGACAAGTTAGTTTTACGAGTATTGATAATCTTCCACCAATTTTGAAATGATATTGGCTTCTGAAAATGATTATCTGTTCAGAAAAGCAAAAGTCAGCTTTTTACCTACAGAAACAATGATGGCTTACCGAGATAAAGACGAAGAACGCAAGTGAGTAGAGTAAAAAAACCTTGAGGCTTCTCAGTTCCCAGGAACTGGAAGACCGTTGATGTTGGAGAGGCATACAAGCCGCACTTCTCTCTGGTGTGCGAGCTTAGGCACTACTACTTCGCTTGCCGCCCTATTATTGGATAATCAGTGCTAGCAAGGGGAGGGAAGTGGACGAGTTTGGGACCCCATTCTCTGCTTGTCTGCGTCCTAAATCTAAGAACAACTATCTCCACGAGGGAGCGCGGACAAATTTGCACGCCCGCACTTGTTTCTGGCTGCCTACCCTGTCTCGCTCTCCCGGTGACATTAGCGCTATATTTTTTTTGAATTCTCAAATATCCCCAGAGAGTACAGGATCTTTTTCCATGTATTTTTATCGTTCCCTCGGTATTACTGGATAAGCTATTTGCCCTGTAATGGTAAGGGACAATAGAAACCAGTTATGTAATAAATCAAAATTTGTGCTGTGATAACTTGTGATGCGTTAAGCTTTTGGGCTTATCGCGAGTGTTAGCTGTTGAACATTCACGAACTCCCTCTTTGGAAATCAGGCCAGATTTTGGCTGAGTTTTTCTGAGAAAATAGCTCCACTCAGAAACGTGTACCCGGAAGTAGTTTGACCCTTGAACATGAGCACCACCTCCATGTGGCGCAAAATTTCCAGCGCTACAGGTACTCCGGCGCGAATTAGCGTTCAGGCTTCGCGACTCTGAGCGTCGTCGCGCTGTACAGCGCTGACAGCACACTGTAATGCGCGTCGACGCGCCACATTACCACCGCGCACTAGTACTACCGTATCCCTTCATTTCTAGGCATTATTCGACTACTATTACCCACTCTTGCCTCCTGAATACTGCCTGAACGCTGCCTTAGGTACCAACTTTGCAATTGTAGCATCGATCAGTGCACGATTGAGCGTGCCCGCATCTGGTTGGGCCGCTTCGATTGGTTAGGCAGCGTCAGACTCGGCGACGACAGTGCTTTGTCGCGATCGATACAGTTGAAAGCATGCGCATCGATCGCTCCGATCGCGTTGAGCGCGCGATCGGAGCGCTGCCGTCCCAAAGTTTGAACCCTCCTCAAAGGCACGGTCCTCGACCAGGTATAGATTGTGCGGATAAGGGTGTAATGCTGAAGATGAAGGTAACTTGGCACGGTCCAGCTGGGATCGGAATGGGGCTATATCTAGGGCAGCTGGCATGTTTTTTCTGCTTTTTTTCTTCACTACCGAGTTACTTAGAACCTTGTCGTCTATATGCAACCCCTAATCCACTATCTTTGATAACGAGTGATCGCGGGCTTCGCCTTAGCGGGAAAATTTCATTCAATCAATTATTTTTTTGATAACTGTCGAGAATTTCACACGTGGGATCTCCAAAGTCCAAGAAAAGAGTGACTTGAGCCGAGGGGTGTCCTTTACGAGCTATGCAAACGGGACAACTTGAGAACGGCTAGACGCAATTGCACCTGTGACGCCTACCGTACTTGCTACGTACTCGACGCCTAATTTTGGGAACATTTAGGAGATTCTATTTCAAAAGTCGGAGACCAGGACTTCCCGATCAGATCCAACCACAGATTTAATTTCACTGACTCAGTTCGTCTATCAGTGTGAATGGGAGACCTGTGAAGGATTTGAAAATCGTTTCATGAGTTATTCATTTCGACGGTTATCGTAAAACATCTCAAAGCTTCATTAAGCGAAGGTTTCAGCATGAATGAGCTACTTATTTGAAAACTTGTTTGGCCTAATAGGGTCCGTGGAATGCAAAGATTCGTGATTTAATTGAATAGAAGGATACTGAAAGAACACAGTACCTTTTGACCGTCTCCACGTTGAGATGCAACACTCGAATCGGGAGACTTGCATGACTTCAGAAAGCCCGTTGTTTCCTGTATGGTCTGCTATATGAAGAACTCAAGTTCCAGAAAACTGTTGTGCAATTCCATACACAATCATCGTTTCACAAACGCCTTAGTGAGCAGAGGTTCTATTGCCGTTTTCAGAGCTTTGGGGAGAGCTTTTAGTATATTTCAACTGTATCGTATGCAGTAACGAAGAAAAAACTCGGAACATGCCAAGGTTGCGCGCATTACGAAAGTTTTAACGAGCTTTTTTTGGAACAAACATTTTCATATTCAGGGGACCGTGCCAGAAGGCGTGAAAAAAACCTGTTCCCTGCTGTGTTTTTACTAACACTGTAGAACACGCTGCCGATGAGCTCATTTCATTTCCCTTGACACTGTCCTGACTGATTGCTACTAATTCAGCTGCAGATCAAAGGGTGAACTTTGCTTTCTCAGTTGAAAAACTTGAGAGCTGCTCGATTACAGTCGCCTTGACAGAGTAGTGAAGTGCATCGCGATACGGCCGCCATTACGTTGACATTGGATCCACTTGTAACGCTTGCATTCGATAAGGCTGTAGAAAGAGCACGGGATCGTGAAGACGGATTAATCCCCGCAAACTTTTGCTTAGCCAAAGCTTCTGTAGAAAATAGCTCATGTGATTTGGGACGCAGAACAATGGATAGCCATGACCGTGTGAAATGGCCTGTGAAAGTTTCACTCCTCTCCAAACTTCTAGCCTTGAGAACTTCTGTCATTCCTAATCACGTGGGGTGCACGTTATAAGCGACTGCGCGAAATGATGGTTGTGTATGGACTACCACAATTTCCCTGATTTTGTTTTATATGTCCTTCACTTATAGACCGCATAGGAAGCAACAGAATCCCGAGAGTCCTGCAAGTCTCCCGATCGGTTCAACTCACCATTAACCAACAAGAGGTGTATCTCGCCGTGAGACGGTAAAAATATGTCTAGTTAAGTTGCTGTATTCTTCCAGTGTCATTCCACTCAAATTTATAAAGTGCTGCATCAGAACGTGAGGTGAAAAAAAACTTTCAGTCAAATAATTCAAAAAGCTGAAACCTACTGAATGAGACTTTAAGAAGGTTTTGCGGCATCGTCGAAACGAAAAACTCATATATACGATTCGCAAATCCTTCATAGGTTTCCATTCATATTGAAATAGACCTCAATGATCTTATCCTAGTGAAGAACACCCGTTGTGGCTGGATGACCCCACCGTTAGACTTGCTACGCTCCCCAGAACCCCTTACTCTTCCCAAATGTAGGCGTCGTGTACGTAGCAAGTACGGTAGGCGTAACAGGTGCAATTGCGTCTAGCCGTTCTCAATGTTGTCTCGTTTGCATAGCTCGGAAACGGGTGTTTCTTAAAATTGTAGCTCCAGAGGCCTGCAAACTCGGGTTACTCAGGCATCGAGATCCATCCGCTGCTTCGAAGAGGAGGAATAGCCGTGGACCGCTCTGGAAGAACAAAAATGACCTCGTCTTCTCGCGACGGAGGAGAGGTGGCTCTAGCCTTCTGGTTGTAGAGGAGCATCTAAAAATTATTTCAAGGTTCCGCCACGAGCAGAGAGACTCTGTATATAGATGCGCGCTTCTCCGATTTGTGACAAACATGTTCAATAATAATAATAATAATAATAATAATAATAATAATAATAATAATAATAATAATAATAATAATAATAATAATAATAATATCTTTTTGAAGCTCGTTTCGTTAGATAAACTGCTGTTTCACGCCGCAGTACGCGTTACGAAAGTTATCACAAGAGTGCTGATTTATGGCCAAAAGTCGTGCCCAGGCAGGGAGTCGAACCCGCACCTCACGCTTTCCGGGCGAGTGCGCTATCCGTTACGCCACCAGGGCCTATTTCACCCTCTCAGCTTAACGGCTTATGCCGTAGCCTTACAGCACTCACACGTTTAACTTGGTGAGCCGGTCAGCCGTAATCGTTAGATATCGGCATGGAACCGCGAGGCCGAAGGCTTTACAAGTTTTTGAAGTCGTTTTGTTAGATAACTGCTGTTTTTACGCCGCAGTACGCGTTACGAAAGTTATCACAAGAGTGCTGAGTTATGGGCAAAAGTCGTGCCCCAGGCGGGAGTCGAACCCGCACCTCACGCTTTCCGGGCGAGTGCGCACTCGCCCGGAAAGCGTGAGGTGCGGGTTCGACTCCCGCCTGGGGCACGACTTTGCCCCATAACTCAGCATTCTTGTAATAATAATAATAATAATAATAATAATAATAATAATAATAATAATAATAATAATAATAATAATAATAATAATAATAATAATAATAATAATAATAATAATAATAATAATAATAATAATAATAATAATAATAATAATAATAATAATAATAATAATAATAATAATAATAATAATAATAATAATAATAATAATAATACTATACTAATAGTGTATGAAAGCACTCTTGTATAACGGAAACTCAGTTTTGCCAAAAATAAATTGGTTGAAGGCACGGTCCGCGATAAGGAGTGTAGGTGATGCTGCAGAGTTATGGAAGAAATTGCCAAGTGACTCGTCTGTGAAGAGAAAATACCGAAGGGAGCATTGAAAACGCTTCTCCAGCTTCAAACTATTGTACGGGTAAAAGACCGAAAAACCGTGCGCTGGGACGAGTCTTGTCGGTGATTCCTTGTAATGAGCCCTAGACTCTAGACTCTACAAGAGACAGTGAAGCACCCACTTCGAGCTACTTGCCCGGTAGCGAACGCAGACTTTGACTGCGGAGTCTGGAGGCGGAGTCACTAGAAAAGGGAGGTACCACTGAAGCAACTTTGCGCCTTAATTCCTTTACCGTACAACTTTCCGCCACGAAACTGGCACAGGTCATCACCATGGTTCGTCCGAGGAAGAGGCGAAACGGACTATTATTTCTCATTTTATGGACATTACAGTTGTTTTCTACTGTCCATTGCTGACTACACTACTTTCCCACATAACCTTT